AACCATACAACTGAAATCTTACAACATAGTTTTTCTTGTTTCTGTTTATTTCCATTCTTTCATTCAGTGGCGCTCTGCCTTCAATCTGTTCAAACTTTTTGTCAAATCTTTTTTTAGCAAAAGTTGCTGTTCTTTTGTTGTCGCTCATCAGGCTTTTAATCAGTTTCTGTGCAGTTTCTCTCTGTGAAATCTTCCTGTCTTCATAAAACTCTACCACCTTATCCACTCTGTATTTAACATCTTCTTTAGCACCTCTGGTTAGACCCTTTAATACTTCTACATTTCTTTGTATATCCGCCGACCCCGCTTGCAGCAGGGGGAGCGCGTCAGAGGAGGAATTACCAGCAGCAAGGGCCAAGAAGTCATTACAAGCAGCAAGGGCAAGAAGCAAGAAAACAAGAAAGAAGAAGCAAGAAGCAAGAAGCAATTCCCGCAGGCCCGGTCCGTCCCTCAGGGCCCTGCTGTTTGGCTGTGGCGGAGGCGCCGTTTTGGGTCAGACAGCTAGGTTTTCTTGTAGGTTCAGAAAGCCACGTTAGGCACTCACGGCCGTGGCCCGCAGGCCCGGTCCGTCTCTCAGGGCCTTGCTGTTTGGCTGTGGCGCAGGCGCCGTTTTGGGTCAGACAGCTAGGTTTTCTTGTAGGTTCAGAAAGCAACGTTAGGCACTCACGGCCGTGGCCCGCAGGGCCTTGCTGTTTGGCTGTGGCGCAGGCGCCGTTTTGGGTCAGACAGCTAGGTTTTAGCCCTGCGACAGGGCCAGGAGGACACGAGCAGGGTGGCTGCAGAACGAAAGCAGGGTGGCAGTTGGCAGTGCAGAAACGGAGCTAAAGTCAAGGTTTGAGAGCTAGTTTCTAGTCAGTTCAGAAAGTAACGCTTGGCAGTCTGGGCTACGGGCCGCGGGCCCAATCCGTCCTTCACTGCCATGGTGTTTTAGCCCTGCGACAGGGTCCTTGGACTCCAGCTTGGACCGAAGCTGTGCAGAACGAAAGCCAGCTCCAGGAGGACACGAGCAGGGTGGCAGTTGGCAGTGCAGAAACGGAGCTAAAGTCAAGGTTTGGAGCTAGTTTTATTCGGTTCAGAAAGTAACGTTTGGCAGTCTGGGCTACGGGCCGCAGGCCCAATCCGTCCTTCACTGCCATGGTGTTCTAGCCCTGCGACAGGTCCTTGGACTCCAGCTTGGACCGAAGCTGTGCAGAACGAAAGCGAGCTCCAGGAGGCGAGCAAGGTGGCAGTTGGCAGTGCAGAAACTCAGGTAAAGTCAAGGTTTGGAGCTAGTTTCTAGTCAGTTCAGAAAGTAACGTTTGGCAGTCTGGGCTACGGGCCGCGGGCCCAATCCGTCCTTCACTGCCATGGTGTTTTAGCCCTGCGACAGGGTCCTTGGACTCCAGCTTGGACCGGAGCTGGGCAGAACGAAAGCCAGCTCCAGGAGGACACGAGCAGGGTGGCAGTTGGCAGTGCAGAAAACGCAGGTAAAGACAAGGTTTGGAGCTAGTTTCTAGTCGGTTCAGAAAGTAACGTTTGGCAGTCTGGGCTACGGGCCGCGGGCCCAATCCGTCCTTCACTGCCATGGTGTTTTAGCCCTGCGACAGGGTCCTTGGACCCGGGCTTGGACCGAAGCTGGTGCAGAACGAAAGCCAGCTCCAGGAGGACACGAGCAGGGTGGCAGTTGGCAGTGCAGAAACGCAGGAAAAGTCAAGGTTTGGAGCTAGTTCTAGTCGGTTCAGAAAGTGACGTTTGGCAGTCTGGGATACGGGCCGCGGGCCCAATCCGTCCTTCACTGCCATGGTGTTTTAGCCCTGCGACACGGTCCTTGGACTCCAGCTTGGACCGGAGCTGTGCAGAACGAAAGCCCCAGCTTCCCCCCCCCCCCGACCAGGGGACACGAGCAGGGTGCAGTTGGCAGAACGGAGGTAAGTCAGTTTGGAGTAGTTTGAGTCGGTTCAGAAAGTAAAGTTTGCAGTCTGTACGGGCCCGCAGGCCCAATCAGTCCTCACTGCCATGGGGTTTAGCCCTCGCGACAGGGTCCTGGCCCAGCGTGGACCGAGCTGGCAGAACGAAAGCCAGCTCCAGGAGGCGAGCCAAGGTGGCAGTTGGCCAGTTCATTGGACTCCAGCTTGGACCGAAGCTGTGCAGAACGAAAGCCAGCTCCAGGAGGCGAGCAAGGTGGCAGTTGGCAGTGCAGAAACGCAGGTAAAGTCAAGGTTTGGAGCTAGTTTCTAGTCGGTTCAGAAAGTAACGTTTGGCAGTCTGGTCTACGGGCCGCGGGCCCAATCCGTCCTTCACTGCCATGGTGTTTTAGCCCTGCGACAGGGTCCTTGGACTCCAGCTTGGACCGAAGCTGTGCAGAACGAAAGCCAGCTCCAGGAGGCGAGCAAGGTGGCAGTTGGCAGTGCAGAAACGCAGGTAAAGTCAATGTTTGGAGCTAGTTTCTAGTCGGTTCAGAAAGTAACGTTTGGCAGTCTGGGCTACGGGCCGCGGGCCCAATCCGTCCTTCACTGCCATGGTGTTTTAGCCCTGCGACACGGTCCTTGGAGTCCAGCTTGGACCGGAGCTGTGCAGATCGAAAGCCAGCTCCAGGAGGACACGAGCAGGGTGGCAGTTGGCAGTGCAGAAACATAGGCAAAGTCAAGGTTTGGAGCTAGTTTCAAGTCGGGTCAGAAAGTAACGTTTGGCAGTCTGGGCTACGGGCTGCGGGCTCAATCCGTCCTTCACTGCCATGCAGTTTTAGCCCTGCGACAGGGTCCTTAGACCCCAGCGTGGACCGGAGCTGTGCACGAAAGTCAAGGTTTGGACCTCAGTGCAGAACGCAAGTCAAGTCAAGGTTTGGAGCTAGTTTCTAGTCGGTTCAGAAAGTAACGTTTGGCAGTCTGGGCTGCGGGCCGCGGGCCCAATCCGTCCTT